GGGTCCTTGTACACAAAGGGCCCCGTGTGAAATGCTTGCCTGCACGCGTGAGTCACCCATCATTTGCATCATCAGTGTGATGTCATGCCAGCCTCCTGTGTGCATGTGCTAGGCAGCTTTTAAAAGCTGGAAGCGCCCCCCCCCCCCAAAAAAAAAAAGCCGGGCAGACCCGTGTCTACCTCTCCAGTGCTGGAATTATGTACCATTACACCAGGTGTGACTTTGGGTATATTTTGAATTGACCTTTCTAATAACACTTCCTTTATTTTTTATGTTTAAATAGTATGTTTCTCCTTTATATTCCTCTTTCACTCCTTGTATCCATTCCAATTTTCTTTTTTAAAAATATCATTTATGACATATGAGTATAGCTTTCTTAGGTACGTGTTTACCACATAACATAATACTTAGATTAAAATAGAAAAGCATTGAAGTTGCTCACTTAAAAGGCAGCATGGAAACGAGCATAAAAAGTTTCTCTGCTCCTGACTACTGTGCTGTAGTGCATGGCCGTTCCCCAATCTCTGCTCCTGACTACTGTGCTATAGTGCATGGCCGTTCCCCAATCTCTGCTCCTGACTACTGTGCTGTAGTGCATGGCCGTTCCCCAATCTCTGCTCCTGACTACTGTGCTGTAGTGCATGGCCAACAGTAGGTGGGCAGCAGGCCCTGGACTTGATTAGAAGAAAAGGAGGACACTAAGGTTGGGGAGGGAAGGGTCGGGCAGGAGTTTGGGGAAGGTGTTATAACCAAAATCCACTGTTTGAAATTCTCAAAGAATTTACAAAAATAGGTTTGGAAAAGAGTTGGAGGAGGAAGGGGAAAGGAAAACAGATGTAATTACATTTCGAAAAATAGAAGGAACAGTAACAAACACAAGAGAAAGCAATTTCTTTTTTAGAACTCTCATGGCTAACATCTTACTGTATTGCATCCTACATTATTCATTTTATAGTTTGTTCACCTTGATCTTGTTGCTGATAAATTAATTCCCATAATGAGAAGATTATAAGATATTAGGATTTGAGATTTGTATATTCTCACTGAAGTTACCTTAGTGAGTTTTGCTTCATGGACAGTTAGCTTATATATGATACACGTGAGTGCTTGAAAATTTTAATTACTATAGTCTAGAAAAGATGTATGTGGGATAACTAAAAATTGTTGATTTGAGAACTGTTGGTCCCATTTTTTTAGTTATAATTGTTCTTATTTATGGTTAACAAAGTTTACATAGTTATGTTTTGTTATTACTCAGATCCAAGAAATTTGTGTTTTGCATAGGGTTTGCATCATTAGTAAATCCTACCCTTTATCAAAATATTAGCATATTACACTAACATAATTTAAGGTTACTCTATATATTACAGTTAAGCTAACTTTGTGAATAGTAACTATTTGTCAGTGATTGAAGGTGAAACAGTATGAATAATCTCAGATCATTCATATTAGCTTTAGAATCTCTTCATGTATATACTTTTGAATATGGGAATGGTAGAAAATCCACTTTAAATAAAATATTAAAGGCCCACTGGGAAAGAATAACACAAGCAGTTGTGAAAAGCAGAGAGACTCCACACATCCCAATCCTGGTCAAGTAAGGCTCACAAATTACTCTTAACATGATTGATTTCAAGCTTCTACAGTGCATGTGAAATAAGAATAAATAAAGAATAAGATGTAAACAAGGAAGCAGCTAAGCAGATGCTGTAGGTGTTTTTCATGAAACATGAAAGCCAGATTTGAAATGCCCGTGGGTAATCTGTCTGTAGCTGATAGGAGAAAGTAAACTTTTCACTTTTGAAGTAGCAGCTTCGTTTGAAAGCAGTGGCATTTACTTAGCTGTTTCCTTCCTCTCAGTCATAATAGTGGTCTTCAGTCTTTGATGGGGAGTGAGTGCCTTTGCTGTTCCTGCATTGCTCAGCTAGATATTTCATGGCTTTTACTGGGCAGAGAGGAGATGAGGAAGATCGTGTGGCTGGAGACTGCCAGTGTGATTGCAAAGAAATATGCAGTGCAGAAATACATTTGCCTTCTCGTACGTCAGAAATTCTGAAAATGTACAGGTGGTGAGGCTGTGTCCACAGAGTGTTAAATGAGGAAGGTGATGTTCACACAAGGTTCGTAGTTTAAGCTAAGTTTTAGACAAGAACATGAAAGCTACACATGTAATGGGTGTATTGTGCTCTGTTTTAATACATAGCTACACTGGGATATTTAGTTAAATTCAACATCTGTCCCCTCAAACATTAATTATTTCTTTTGGGTATCAGTATTCAAAACTCTTTCTTCTGACTTTAGGATGTGTAGCACAGAGTTGTTGGCTATAACCCTTTAGGGCACACCGGAAGCTCTTGTTCCTGTTGGTTAGTACCCGTTCAGCAGACTGTCCATGCTGCCCCACTGCTCTCCTCTGATAGCCACCCCTAGTGTCTCAGGTTAAACTTGATCAGCTTTTCCAGATCTCCTCAGAAGTGAGATGACTCAGTGCATATCATTCTGTGCCTGACCCATTTCACTTAGTATAAAGATTTCCAGGTCTATCCATGGTGCTGCAAATACCAGGATTTTACTTTTCATGCCTGACTAATGCTCCACTGTGTCTGTGCACAACATTTCCTCATCTAGGAATTAGATTCTGGGCACTGTGTTGCTTCTGTATCCTGGCAGTTGTGAACAGTGCTGCAGTAAACACGGATGTGCAAATGTCTCTGACTGGTTAACTCTATTTCCTTTGAATATGAATCTAATGTTGCTATTGATTGTTCCTAATTAATATTATTAGGTGAAGAGGCCTCTTGCTGTTTCCTGTAAAGGCTGTACAACTGTGTGCAGACTTTCACTTTACCCCTGCCCTTGACAGATAGCGTTTGTTTTGTCTTTTGTTAAGAGTTGTTCTTACTTGAATGGCGCTATAGTTTGCTTTGCCTTCTCATTTCTTTTCCTGACTGTTAGCTGTGCTGAGCATGTTTCATGTACTTCTTGGCTATTTCTTTGTTTTCTTTGAAGAACGATCATTTAGGTTGTTTTTCTACTTGTTAATAAGGTTATTGTTTTTGCAGTTGAGTTTTGGGAGCCCTTCCTATATTGTGGGTCTTGGCCTCCAGTTAGATATCTTACTTTCCAGTCCTTTCTGTCAGTGTGTTGATGGTTTGTTTGTTTGTTTATTTATTTCTCTGTTGCTCACCCCTTTTGCTGTGGTAAAAATGCTTTCTGGTTTGATGTAATCCTATTTGGTTACCTCTGATTTTGTTTTCTGTACCTTTGGGAATCTGTTACAAAAAACATCTTGCTATTCCAGTTTCCTGAGATGCTTGTTTCTTGTAACCCAGTGACTTATAGTTTTAGCTCCTACATATAATTCTTTAAATGATTTATACTCAACTTTTGTAATTTATTAGAGAGAATGATTTGGCTTTATTCTGCATATGGATGTCAAGACTACCAGCAGCATTTATGGGGAAAACTTTTTCCCCAAACTGTGCTTAGGGCCATTGCAAAAAATCTCTTAACTCTGTCTTAGGGGTTTCTATTGCTGTGAAGACATCATGACCATGGCATCTCTTCTAAAGGAAAACATTTAATTGGGGCTGGATTAAAGTTTCAGTTAGAGGTTTAGCCCATTATTGTCATGGTGAGAACATGGTTGCATGCAGGCAGACATGGTGCTGGAGAAGGAACTGAGAGTTGTGTGTCCTGATCTGTAGGCAGCAGAAGGTGACTGTGTTCCACATTAGGTTTAGCTGGAGCACGTGAGACTATAAAGCCCACCCCTACTTTGACACACTTCCTCCAAAAAAGGTCACAGTTACTTTATCAAGGCCACACCTTCCTATGGAGCCACTCCCATGGGCCAAGCATTCAAACACATGAATCTGTTAGGACCATTCCTATTCAGATATGGCAGTAAAGGGTCACCTCTGGGCTTTGTACAGATTTTCTGGCAGTTGCATTTCTGTTTTTAGGTTAATACTATGCTGTGCTCACTCTGGCTTTTGCTTATCTCTAGGTGAAGTTACTTTGTATCCTAATCAAGAAAGTTACAGTATTTACTTGTTTGTGACTTGTTCTCATGCTCTATGATGCTTATTTTTGATTTTTTGATAGTTTATTTTTAGCATTTACTTTTCATACACATGGAAATCATACATGGAAGTGGACACATAGAAAATACACATATAGAAATTCTGCTATTTTTTCTTCCCTCCTTTTTAGGAGACACAGTTACAATTTTGTTATATGTTAACCTGTGTTTCTTGATTACCACTTGTGCTTTTTCTGTAATCAACATGATTTTTTTGTCCACTAGCAATAATGTCCTACTTCCTTAAACCTTTTGATTGCATCACTGATTCATGGGTCACATGTCATTCAGCCATGATGGAAATACTTACATGATAAATGCTTTATTTTCCCTCTAATTCTTAAAGAAGTTGATCTTTGAAATTTAAGATATTCCTAATAGTTATAGAACTTCATTTTGGTAGTCTGGTAAGCTCTCCTACTATGTATCTTTCTATTGTGTTGATAAACGTTTGTCCCGTATCTTTTTCTTAATCTTAGTCCAAACCCTCACCTCTAGTATCCTATTTACCTTCCCTTCCTCTGTGGTTTTCCCTTCCCAGATAGTCCCAGATTTGATACTCCAGCTTGATCTAGTGAATCGCTGTACTGAGTGAAGCTCTGTTTGATACTTTTCCCAAGTTTTTGGTATATATACTTGTGTATCCATGGAGGACTCCTAGTTATCAACATGTTGAACATGGAACATGGCTGAGACTCAGTTCTTAGAAGCTTGAATGAATGATGTTAGCCTATTGCTGTCTATAGTGGCATTTTCCCTCAACTCTTACAGTCAAGGTCTATGAACCATGAACAATTTTTTATCTAGTGTTATGCTTATAGTAGTCATGATTATGACTACAAAAATTTTAAAATAATTATAGGCATATAAACAACTCACCTTTGTGGTTTTTTCTTTTTTCTTTTTTCTTTTTTAGTTGGGTGCAAAGCTTTGGACATGAGGGACTCGGACTATTATTGGACATTTTGGAAAAACTGATTAGTGGGCAAATGTAAGTATAGTTAATAATATTTAATTAAGTTCTCTGTTAGTATGTCCAACTGTAATTCAATATTGTTGTATTTATGTTAACACAGCCAAGAAAGAGTTGTAAAGAAGAATCAGCACAAAGTTATCCAGTGTCTGAAAGCCCTGATGAACACACAGGTATGCTGCAGGGGAGTTCCCCTTTGTTCACCACAGAGTCTTACATGAATTACAGCCTCACCATTGAGAGTTCTACTTGCATGCCATTGGGTGATGATGGGTTTGTCTCCTATGTTGATAGAAGAGCAGGGGATTTTAGGAGGAGCTGGGAGGAGAAAATGATTGTCCCTGAAATGTGAGCCCCCGCCTGCAGAGGCGCTTGCTTTCTCTCCTGTGCTCTCCACCTTGAGCCTTCTTTTGCTTCTCTCCTTTTGATTTTCAAAAGGTCAGCAGGATTTAGGCATTCGTATCCTACACTATTAGTAACTATAGTTTATATATATGCTACCAGAGATTCAAGTTGTGAAAACCCATGCTTCATATCCTGAGAATTTAAAACCTATGATAAAATTAATATATACAGATGTGAGAAGATTCTAGAAATGTAGCAGTGTTATATTTATTATTGAGCCAGCATAATATGGCATATCTTGTGTAGTAAAGTTGTGTAGTGTAAAGTACTTGTGAAATAAAGTTGAGTTAAGCAGAAGACTTTAGGCCATCACTGCCCGGTCACTCACTCTGTTTTGGTGACTGTTGATAACCTCATTTCTTTAGCTCTGTCAGCTCATCTACCTCCTAATGTGTGATGTAATGATAGGTATGTCAGTTGTTGGACATCAGGGAAGCAAAGGTTATGTATGCTCTTGTGATGTGTGATCATGTTCTATAGGAAAGCCGTACATGTTTGGTAAATTTTAATGAAGCGTATTTTGCCTTTTTCTTTAAAGATAAACATCTGTAGGGTTAAATTGTTAGTATTTAATTGTAGTCCTTAAATTGTTAGTATTTAATTTTATTATAGCAACTGTTTGTGTTTTCTAATTTTGTTTTTTTGTGAAAGCATTCTGCTGAGTTTCCTGTTTAGTTATCTTAAACACTTGTTTATACCATGTTCTTGTGTGTCTGTGCCCTTGTGCCACAGGGTCAGTGTAGAAGAAACAAGACAGCCTGTGGAAATTGATTCTCTTCTTTTTCCATGTGGGTTCTGGGGACTGAACCCAGGTCCTCAGGTTTGGAGACAGTTGTCTTTCTGCTGAGTCACTTTTACAATTTTCTATTTTTTTTTTATTCATGGAGTGTTGTTTACTTTTTCCCACCTTGATACTTCCCAAGGAGATTGCCTGAGGAGTAGACCCACAGGTCCTTTTTTAAAGAATTTTGCTGTGTTATGTGAAATAGGTTGTCTGCATGTTCTTTAAGAGTAGGCACTGGAAGGATGAGAAACTCCTTGTAGAGGGTTGTTTCTACCATACAAGTTGAGCTGTTTTTTAGAGGCCTTTATAAAAAGTGAGGCTGTAGTAGGGGAATTTTCCTGGTGGCATGAAGCTCAAAGGAAGGAATTGCAGGTGTGCCTCTTTTAAACCAAAGAGGTGTATGTGACCAAAGTTAAATTTGAGAAGACTAATGGCTAAAATAAATTATTATATAGAAAATCACATTCCTTACTTGGTTTTAGTCATAGTATATTTTATTTCTTATAGTTTATATAGAGCCATAAAATACTGTATTTGAATTTGATAATGGCACATAGGTTAATAAAACAGAAAATTTAGTCACTGACACTTGGGATTAATATTTTAAAATATAGACTCTATTTTGCAAAGTTGCTGGTCATATTACCAACTCAGGGTTGTTGTTAGTTTTCCTAAGCTTCATTTAATCAGCTATATAGATGTGCACTTTACCATATCACTGTGAAGTCTTCACTGGATTTCATTTTAATGAGGAAACTATATAGCCTTTAGGTTTATTTGCTACCATCACTTATGTCATTAATATAAATGACTATGGCATCTTGTCAGAATGAATTGTTTATCACATTAAATGGAACTAAAAGTATTTTTTTTTTAAGGCTAGAGAGTTGACTCAGTTGTGTAAAACTTTATATCCCCTTCCAGAGGTCCTAGGTTTGATTCTCAGCACCCACATTATGGCTTGCAACTATCCATAGCTCCAATTTTAGGGCATCTGACTCCCTCTTCTGGACTCTGAGGGCTTAGGCACGAAAGTCGTTGACCGGTATTAAAAAAAAAAAAATAAAAATGTAATTTTTAAATGAATCTTTTAAAATATGAAGGCATACAAAGGAAGACTTCGTTTTCGAAAGGGGTTTGGGGATTGAATTCTACGCCCATTGACAATGAGTGTCTTGCTGTTAAAGCCATCCTCATCCCTCATATTTTCGCCACTGTTGGGATACACATACCATTGATTGTTGCTTATCCCCAGTTGTCATACAGTATTGATGTTTTCTGTCTTGTCAGGGATGAGAGTATTTACCTTTCCTTAGCTAAAGATATTGTCTTCAGCTGTCTGGAATTCTGTTAGGTAACAATAGGCCTTCTGTGGAATTCTAAGAGTACACAGCATTGGTTCTGGGTTTACAACAGGCCAGTTATCATATTATCCCAAGTGGGTCCTTGACATTCAGGAAAGATAGCTTTTAGACCTTCCCAAATTGGTGATAGCGTTCTCATTTTAAAAGCCTTCATTAAAAGAACTTTGATGCTAGCACTGGTAAGTGAACTATTTCTCCCAGTCAATTTTTCTTTTTTTTAAGTCTTTGCATACATAATTTTATTGAAGTATATGACAGTTCCTTGTTTAGTAATAGTTATGAAAAAGTGTTAATATGGCCTCATTCTATTCCCCAAATGAGCTCTTCTATTTTATTTTATTATATTTTTTATTGAGAAAATTAGAGGTCATGCCTTTGGTGTCACAGGATTGTGGTCAGAGCATAAGATCAGAGTGCGCTCATATCCCAGCCCTCCCACCCAGGAGTTAGAATCGGGGTGGGGGTGGGAAATGGAAATGGTAGGAAGTCTGACTGCAGCCATCCCAGATTATCAGGAGCCTAGAGAGCCGCCTGACTGTGAATCTGGAAGGCAGGCACTAGAGACAAGCTTTCATCTATCAACGGTTTTCTCAGGACAGAGCATGCTAATCTTTGTCTTTCTGAGTCTGTCCAAAGGATGCTTCCTATATTATTGACAATTTTCTGCAATACTACCAAGGCATGGTGTGGCTCTTCTCTCTGTGCCAGCTTTTGAAGTCTCAGCTTGTAGTTCAGAACATCAGAACAGTGGGCCTTTTTCTGACCAGTTTAATTGTCTGTAAACCTTTCCCACGAATAAGGAGAAGGAACTCCTACCACTCGCATTCCTGGGGTCTGGCCTCTTCTGCTTGCACTCCCTCTGTCACACCTCTTCACCATAGTGTTTACAGCAAATGCACTATTTCTGCACAATGTCAAGTTTGCTTTTTCTCTTTTTCTATTAATGCTAATATATGTGATAATAACATTACAAACACAATTTTATAATAAAGCATTTGTGTTTAACCTTGTTAGTGTTTTCACTTTGATACTTAGATTTATAGCCATTTTTCAGCCATAATTGGAAGGTGTGTAGTTGGGATTAATGTTCCTGTGATCATTTATAGTAGTTACTTGATCCACAAGTTTTATACTATGGAGAAAGATCATCCAAATTACATGGGAGGTAGAAGTATTATTTGATGTCTTCTATTGCATTTTTATACTGATGATGCAGATTACTGGTATGCCAAGAGATAATACATACTTCCTTAAGATAATATACCTTTAATATAATTACTTATATTCTAATTGGATGTGACTTTATGGCAGTATCAAATAAACTTTATCCTTCAACAAATCATTTTGAAAGTGTTTATTGATTATAAGTACCATTGTGCTCAGAATACATATTTCTACTATGGGAGTTTCTACACAGCTCCTTTATAAATTGTCCTTTGCCTTTGTGTATTTATATACTAGGTTCAGATCTAGACCTGTACTGTCTTGTGGTAGCCCCTTGGGCTTTGAACACTTGAAAGTGTCTAGTCTGAATTCAGATGTGGTGTAATTAGAAAATGCAACTTGATATTCAGTCTTAAGGAAAATAAAAGTGTTCTATATAGTTTCTACGTTGAAACGATAATACTTAAATACACTGGGTTAACTCTATTTAAAATGTTTCATTTGTTTCATGAAAATGACATAGAATTATTCTTTGGTTTATCCTATCTTTTGTTTGTACAGTGCTGTGTGTTTGCTTGTCATTTTTACCCACTTTCTTTCTTAGCACAGAGATTGCCCTGTCCTCTGTGACTATTTTAGTATTTGTTTGTTTTGTACGTTAATGTTGAGAATCCCTTATTTCTCCATGGATTTTTTTTGGCATTTGGTAGGTTCTCATAACTATTAATATAATAGTAATACTTGGGAAATTTTTATGGTGTTACAAGGTCCTCATACTTTGTCTTTTTTAGAGGTAAAAATATAATTTTTAAAATTTATGCACCATCTTTCCAAATAACTCCTAACATTTAACTCATTTTCTATTGTTGCAGTATGGCTTAGAAAGAATTATGAGTGAAGAGAGGAGTCTTTCCTTGTTGGCGAAAGCCATGGATCCTAAGCAGCCCAATATGATGGCGGATGTGGTGAAGCTTCTTTCTGCAGTATGCATTGTAGGGGAGGAGAGCATGTAAGTCTCCCCGTGTCTCCTGCATCATAGGGGAGGAGGGCATGTAAGCCTCCCTGTGTCTCCTGCATTATATGGGTAGAGAACACGTAAGTCTCCCTGTGTCTCCTGCATTGTATGGGAGGAGAACATGTAAGTCTCCCTGTGTCTCCTGCATTGTAAGGGAGGAGAGCATGTAGGTCTCCCTATGACTCTTGCATCGTAGTGGAGGAGAGCATATAAGTCTCCCTGTGTCTCCTGCATTGTGGGGGAGGAGAGCATGTAAGCCCCCCTGTGTCTCCTGCATTGTCATCTACAGAAGCATACAACCTCAGTGTTGATATATGTCTGGGCAGTTAGTTTGGTTTCTTATTTGTATAATTAAAATATTTGTTCAAGTATTTTGCTAATCAAATTTTTAATTAGGGACTAAAATAATTTCACGAACAATTGATTTCCTCATCTTGTTTCTTTTAAACTTCTTTAAGCTCACCCCTTAATAAAAATTCAAAGTAGAGGGTGAAAATGTACAAATGGGGTCTTTTTATCTAATTTTACATATATATATATATATATATATATACATATATATATAAAATTGGAATTGTGAGTCATGCTTACTTCATCTAATGATTAGTACATTGCTTTTTGACAATTTATATGTGAGACAGAGCAGTTGAGTTGAATGGATTATAGTCTAAAACACATTGAAGCTTCAAGACTTGGCTACAAGGTTGTACCTAATCAGCCACTCAGCATATATCCTGGTGATAAAGTACACACCCCAACACCTTAGGGAAGATTAGGATTCTAATTATAAGTAGCCCTTTAGAATGTTTTAAAAAAAACAAGTAAACCAAAAATCCAAAAGAATAAAGACAGTGCTCATAGTTTCCAGAGAATTGAAACAGCCTGGTTCAGTCATGTCCAAAGGCCTTGGCTTGACCCTGTTTCCCATAAGCCATTTAAAGAGATGAGTGATGGTGAAAACCAGAGGAAGACGTGTTTATTGAGTGTATACTGGCCACAGCATCCAGGGATTGATCTCACATGTATCTGTAGGGTACTGGATGTTAGCTTTGCTTAAATAGAGTAAAAATTGGAATGTCGAGCAAGAAGTGTGTGGAAACAAAACAAACATAGATTCTTCTGCTGTCAGAGCTGCTGGAAAGTTATTCCTAGGAGATGAACTCTTCCCTGACATTAGGAGTTGAGCCGTTCTCAGCATGCAATCCTCAGGCTTCCTAATGTACTGTTAAATGTGAACTTAGCCTGAGTCCTTTCTAACACACGTGAGAGTCAGTCTTGGGGCGATCCTGCTAGTTAGGTGGTATTGAACTGCCTCGGTGGCTGTAGTTGCCCAGGTACACACCACTCTGAACCTGAGCCTTTATGCACATGTTCTGTGTGTCTAGAGAAGTCATTTAGCTAATCTGACCTGTGATCCCAGGTATGGAAAAGGCCAGACATCCAGGTTCAGTACTTTCTCGATCTAGAAAGCTTGCTTAGATTTTGGTGTGCCCTAAGAGTTGGTATGTGCCCTGTATGCATGTATATTGATGCATGACTCAGAAAGACTCCTGTCTTTCATTTTATTCTTTGTTATCCATTCCTTTCCGTTCCTCTTTCCTCTTCTTCCCTCCTTATTCTCTTGTTTCTCTTTACCCTTATTCCTCCTAGACTCTTATCCTGTTCTTTTCTTTCTGCTATTTTTCCTCTTTCTGTTCTCTTCCCCTTCTCTTCTCTCTTCATCTTTTTTCACATGTATTGTTCTCCTCCTCCTACTTCTTCAGTTCTGGGAGTCAAATTATGGCCTCACACAAGCTAAGCAAGCAGTCCACTGCTGAATTCGATTCTCAGCCCTTCTGTATTATTTTTGTTGTTTCTTGACATTGGAATAAATGTCAGAGTGATTCAAATAACATTTAGGGCTGCATATTTTCATTCACAGTTAAAAAATTTATACTTTTTCTTTAAAAAGGAAAAATGATCTTTTCACAAATACTGTAGTTTAGATTTACCGATTTATTGTATTGTGCTACTGTTTGTTTTTGATTGTCACAGTTTCATTATTTGAGGGACATTATGTGTTGACTGAGAGCATTTTAGATATTTAGCCTTCACAGGCTGCCAGATTTTAGATCCATGCTTCAGCACTTTGGAGAAGTAGATGTTAGACTGAACAAGTTGTTCAACTGTTTTCTGCCTACTTTCTTATTTATAATGGCTTATAATATACACACTGCATACAGTTTACATACATTAAAATCAATGGGATGTTGATTCTAGAAAATGATAATGTATGTTTTACAAGAAGGTAGAAGAATGGTTTTAAATGCTGCTATCATGAGAGAATGACTTATTTGCCGAGATATACATGCTTTTCCTCATTTTATATTACACAGCACCAGCATGCATTAAAATGTCCCATTATATGGTATAGTTTTATGTTTCAATAAAATAGTATAAATAAGAATCCAGTGTGAACCTAAAGTGGCAAAAATATTTCAATTAGTCCTGACCTGTGGTGTTTTATAGATGCTTGGTCAACACCTCGCAGGGTATTGGCCAGGAATAAATTAATCAAAATACATGCTAGAGCACACAGAAAAACATGCTGAGCCTCCCTCAAGTAGATACCAGTCAGGGAAAAGGGTCTGATGTAAAAGTAGAATATGGTAAATTTAGCAAAGATGTTAAAAACCTGAACACAGGAGTGGGTAATGGGATTTGTAGGGAAGCTGGATGTGATAAATACATTCTTTGTATGCATAGAAATGTCACCGTGAATCCTGCTATTTTGTATAGTTAGTATGCACTTATAGTAATGAACTCATGCTTTATTAATTAGCATGGTAAAGTGATTGCATGGCATTTTTGTTATTTGATCCTTGCTATTTAATTAATAGACTCCAAATTTCTGATAGCCTTGAAGAAGTTTTAGAAGCCTTGACTTCAGCTGGAGAAGAAAGAAAAATTGACAGATTTTTTCCCATTGTTGAAGGCCTTCGGCACAATTCAGTGCAACTGCAGGTACATTTTATGTTTTAAAAATCTAGTTCTGAGCGACATATCAGGTGTATTCTTGGAAGCTGTTTTGTGATTGACTTTTATGTAAACATCATATAAGTGTGAAGCCATTTTAGTTTTTATACTTAATGAATGTATGTTTTGTGTTCTTGTAAGATCTTACAAATGTCTTGGTGAATACCCATGAGCCCTTCCTTATGCTTTTAAAGAGTTTCCAACTTTAAACCTACAGATTTTTCTACAGACATTATCATAATAGTCCTGTGATTGTTTAGTAATTAATGCTAATGTAAGGCAATGTTTTTGAATCATTTGAATTATGGTTTGTCATTATTGTAGAACTTATAATTGAAATTGAGAATATCTGCAAATATTATCGAGGTTCAAGAAAATAGATCATTCTTCAAGGTATTCCCCTACTCACAGTTGTAGATAACTTTAGCCATTTCATTATGCAAACACAAAAATACTTTATAAAGTATTGATTAAAAGAAGTAAAAAGATGCCCTAATTGTTATGATCAAATTTGTATATAGCCCTGATACGCCGTGAACTTGGTGACAATTTTCCTGCTTCTACTTTCTGAGTGCTGGGATAATAGCTGGTGCCATCAAGCCCAGCATTAACCATAAAAAAAATTCACATCTAATTCTTCATTCCAGACTTAATCCTTGAGTCGGCCTACCTCCCTGGGAAATTTAAAAGGATTCTTGAGTGATCTAACCCTCTGCACTGTTTACTTACTAGTGTGCAGAATGACATGACAGAAATGCACTCTAAACAATATAAAATGATTTGCATATGTGAAGTATGGTTGTTTAAAAGGAGGCCTATCTGCACTATGATTCTTGTTTGTTTGTTTCTAAATGTGAAAGTAATAGTAGAGCAGAATCTTAAAACTTAAAAATATCAAATTAAAATTTATACATGATATTTCAAGAAAAATGAGATGATATTTGAACTGTGAAACTAATGAACTTGTTCTGTACTGTCATATGCCATGCTATGAGTGGTTCAGTTGGAACCTTGTTGTTAGTACTCATGGCAATCCAGTGGTTCAGTTGGAACCTTGTTGTTAGTACTCATGGCAATCCAGGATTGAAGATCAGGATAAAGGGTCTCTGTTGTTTGGTTCCTGCTTCCAGAACCTTGGCTCTTGTCTTGTGGAGGACAAGGAATTGGGGCTCACCTGCATTCTTTAATAGTGGTCCTACCTTCCAGACCAGAGATGCTGTGTTTTGTTTTGACGCCTGTCTCATTGCTTTACTCCTCTTATCTCTTTGCTTTCTTCTGCCTAGTCTCTTCCGCCTCCTGTCCTGCCTATTAATTTCTGTTTCTTACTTTTCCTTCTTACCTATTTTCCAAGTCTTTGCATGTCCTTTGGTCTCATTGCTCCTTTATCATCTGGTGCCAATTTTAATGTTTATTTAATCTGATTCTACATTTTCTCCCTATCTAAAGATTAAGACTTCAATGCCTTTCAAAAATTGTATGTATTAAAATTTGAAGTTTTCTGGTAATTTTTTTTTGTTTTTTTGAGACAGGGTTTCTCTGTAGCTTTCGAGCCTGTCCTGGAACTCACTCTATAAACGAGGCTGGCCTCAAACTCACAGAAATCCATCTGGCTTTCCCTCCCTAGTACTGGGATTAAAGGCATTTGCCATCCCTGCCCAATCTCCTGTAATTTTTTTAAAAAAAGTTTTATTTGTGTGAAGTCTATATATCATGCTATGTACCTATGTAGGGATTTTTTTGGGTGGTTTGGGTCAGGTCTTTGTTATATTGAGATATACCTTTAGCTATATCAATTTTAGATTATTTTTAGTGCTCCTAAATAAAATCTTTCTTTAACTATAACTCCTTAATTTTGTTGTTCTGTTTAGTTCTAGGGCACTTTTTTCTGTCTAGAGAGATTTGCATATGGCAGCTACTACACATACACAGGCGTTGCATGATTAGAATTTTTTAGGGAGGGTGTTGTTGTAGTTTTCAGACAGGGTCTCCCTAGCTTCGTCTCTTACTATTATGGGACTCACTGTGTAGACCAAGCTTGTGTCAGACTCACTGAGAACCAACTGCCTCAGCCTCCCAAATGCCCACCACATGACTAGATTCTATTATCTGCTGGTTAGTTTTTTTTTTTCTATGTTGGAATGTCTCACTATCTCATTTTTAAAAATGTCACTTTGTGTTTCTGTTGCACTGTTATGCCACGTTTTATTTATCAGTAGCTTCTTGTTAGATATTTGGGTCTGTTATATCTTTTGACTATTACTAATGATCCTCTTTAAAGCATTTTTAGAGTTGATTAATTTTTAAATTATGACTTACTTGCCTTGTTTGTTGATAAGTGGTTAGTGGAAGGGTACTTGCAGCAACATGGTCCTTTGGCAGATGTATCAATTAAGTGTTTGATAGAGTTCTTGAGAACTTTTTGCCAAGGTATGAGTGATCGCTTGTACTTGAGTTGGCTTTTAGAAAGCCATTACCAAAGGTATGCAGTAACTGTATATTTTGTTCTAGTTATTAGTATTGCTAAGTTTTTGGTGTTTTACATACATTGAAATAAGTTTCTTGACATGGTTTTTATAGCTTAGTTTTCATCACAAAGTGAAATGTTGTTTTAATGCCATTCAAATTCATTTTTTTCTGTCTTTACAATGTGTTCATAACAATTTCCAGTATAGATGTTGCAAGGAGGCTGCTAGTTAGTTCCTTGCTGCTTAGACCTGAAATAACCACACAGAAACTGTATTAATTAAACCACTGCTTGGCGCATTAGCTCTAGCTTCTTACTGGCTAACTCTTACATCTTAATTTAACCCATTTCTATTAATCTGTGTATTCCCACGTGCCTATGGCTTACCTGGTAAAGTTCTGGCATCTCTCTCATGCGGGGCTACATGGCTTCTCTTGACTCCCAGGATTCAGCTGAGTTTCCCCCACCTAACTGTTCCCCTATAGCTCTGCTAGAGGCCCAAAGCAGTTCCTTTATTTATCAGTGGTGATCACAGCATACAGAGGGAAATCCCACATCAGTGGACTTAGACACTGAGGGTCATTATCTCTTCTTAAATGCAATTGCATACCAGCTGCGGTAACAAAACAGCCACACTCACTACTACTTCAACTGCACCATGCTGTACCTTTTTGCCAAGGTAAATACCAAGGCAATTCAGGAACAGATCACAAGGGTTCTCTTGGAACGGTTGATTCTAAATAGGCCACATCCTTGGAGTCTTCTTATCACCTTCATTGAGCTAATTAAAAACCCAGCATTTAAGTTCTGGACCAATGAGCTTGTACACTGTGCCCCAGAGATTGAAAAGTGGTAGAAGGGACTGGTGCCAGTTAGATGAGTTGTCTTGCTGACAACATCATCCCTTGCCAGAGGCATTGACCTTGGTCCCACTGAACAAGTTCATAAACTGAAGAATCATTTCAAATCTGCCTGACTTTCCCAGCCCTTTGGTTTCAGGTGTCTGTCCCATCAACTGCCAGGGTTGGCCTCGTGTCTTTGTGGGCAAGTTCCAAAGTTAAATGCATTTCTTTTTGACTCTTGGCCAAAATTTAGAAGATGCTGTGAATATCATTTTGAACTTGTGTAAATAGATGAAAGAGGGGAAAAAAGGTGTCATCTTTCAGAAAACTTATTTACTACCCCCACCCCAAGTAAAAAGGGAAAGCACATTTATTTTGGGGGATATTACTGGGTATGCACTTTTCAATTCCATTAAAACTTATCAAGTGTATTATAGTAATATCAAAAACCACTCTCATCTCTGTTATACTTCTGAATTTTCCAGAAATAAGGCATATTTTAGAATGATCTAACTATGTTTTCCTATAAAGCTGTTGTTCTAAATGCCTATTTTATTTTATTAGCTGTGTAATTTGTATTATTGAAATGTACTAATGTGGGTGATATTAGCAAATTACCAAATTGAAAATAATATTTTTTATAACTAAATAAAGTAGAACCCAATTGATTTCTTCTAAATTGGTAGTTAATAAAGAATAATGGGGATCTTTTATTGATAAACATATTTATGATAATGCATGTCTTAAAGGGAAATTGTTAGATATTTATTTGTATTCTAATAATAATGATAGTTTCTCTGACTGTGATTATGATAGAATGAAGCAAATTTTCGTCCTTTTGATATTTTCTGGAGAGAAATTGCAAAGTACATGCCTGAGATGACTTAAAGATTATATTTCAGGCCTGAGTTTTATTTTTAGGAAATAGATTAAAGGTAAAAAACATTAGATTTGAAGTAAATGTACAATAGTTTTTCTTTTCAAATCTATCAGAAAGAGATGCTCAGCTGCAAACAGCCTAATTCACTTTTGAGCCATTTGTGCAGCAAATGACCCTGAGCGCTTTGTAGAAATTCTGGAAGGCTCAGGGAGTTTATGTAATTAACATACCACTCAACTAGGTGCAGAGGAGAAAAGGCACACCACAGCAATGTCCTGATAGAAAACCCACTTCTGATGCTGCTCAAGCTGTACCTGGGAATGCTTGGGCAGACAAACCTCCCACACCTGTCACATTATCCTATCTCCCTCTGTCTGATTGTCCCTTTATGCTGGCAACATCCTTCTTAGAGGAAGATTGGAATCAGTGTATATTAGTTCATTAATTCTAATTCATGCTTTAGCTTCTTTCCTTATTCTTTTTCTTTTTTTGTACATGGATCTTCTTTATCTTATAGCTAAAGCTGTAGTCTGCTGAGTCATCATAAGCATTGCCCTAGATTGCAACATTTGTTGAAATTTTTTCTGTTAATCACAAATGATTAATTATTAGGAATTCATTGGAAGAATTCATCTTAGATTTCAAAGGGTGACTTTAATTTTTTTTTTTTTTTTTGGTGGATACGTGACTTTTTTTTCTGTAAATATCCTCTAGATTGTGAGAACAGTATGCTGTAATCCCTATAGCCATGAGGGGAGAGGTACCTTTGCTCTGGATTGTTTGTAGGGAAAGTACTTTATTC